GCCTATGCAGATGACTCCCAAATTCCTGTCTCTGCCAGCACAGTCATTGAACTCCAGCACAACTAACAGTCTACTGGACAGTGCCATTTGGATGCCTCTAGCTACGAGAACATCTCATCCTGTTGTCCTCTTGCCCTCAGTCTCTGCTTGGGACCTGAGAGTCATCTCCCAACCCCAAACTCCAGCATCCAGTCACTCACCACATGCAGTCCCTTCTGCTGCCTAACTACTGCTCTGCTCAGTCCTCTTCCCTGTACCAGGACCACAACCCTCACTCCACCAGCCTCCTCAGACTCCTGCCCCACTCCCTCTTCCTCCATTTCATTCTCTGCATGGCAGTGAGTGCCTTGTCTAAAATCCAAAGCCAATCTTGTTATCCCTTTCTGATCATTCTCCACTGCCCAGAGTCTAAGTGCATACTCCTTAGCTCATGTGGCCTTTTGTCCTCAGTTCCTGCCAAATTCTCCAGCTATACAAAACCACACCCCCACATTTGTACCAAAGCACACTCTGCTTCTACTACTTAGAAATGCACTTCTCGCTGCCTCCCTAGCTAACTCTTATTCATCCTTCAAATCTTACCTCGGGTGTCACCTACTCCAGAAAGCCCCCCCTGATTTTCCAAGGCCTCCTAGGTACTCTGACAAGTCTCCCAACAGGATTTATCACCTTGTGTGGACGTTGCGGAGAATATGTTTCTCCCATGACAGCAGGGAGTGTCTGTTCTCTGTTACATCCCCAGCATCTCATATACTGTAAATAGTAAATATCTTATCGAATAAGAAATAGGGCTGACAGAGAACATGTCTTAGGGAGAAGAAAGAGGGCTCCCTGAGGGAGGATAGGGAGACTGGGGTAGAAGTCATGAAAGAGGAGGTGGGACTACAGAAGACCTGGAGAGGAGGAGACCTGTGTGGGAAGGGGACTGCCCTGGCTGCCGACCTTCTGGGAGGGCCCAGGCTCACCTCACAGTGATAGCATTCCACGTGGTAGTCTCTGTCCATGGACACCACACGGATGGTTGTCTCACAGCCCTGGAGGAAGAGACAGGGTTCATGCACCATAAACACACTGGGACTTGAGGCGAGTTGCACGTGGGAGCACACAGATACACAACACACTCTTGTTACAGTGAATGTGCATTCACGCTCGTGTGAGCACTGACAGGGTGCTTCCGAGGGGCTGGAATAGGCACCTGTAGGTGCACACGAATGGCTGTGGATGTGCTTTAGGATCCTCCCCAGCTGTCACCGACAGCACGCACACCTGCCCATGAGAGTGTCACACGGGTGTCAATGTGTGTGCACACATTATTCTCACTTCTCTGGAATCAGGAAAGACCACTGCCAGTTCTGCTTCCCCAGGCACACCTGGGACAGAACCAGTGCTGATGTTGGGAAGACCCAGGGCCTGAGAGAGCCACACCACCCAAGGGCAGCTCTTGCAGAGACCACATCCTTCTTTCCTCTGTTCCCCCAGCCCACCCAACCTCCACGTGCTGAGCAAAACAGACCCAGGGAGCAGCCCTTACATCAATGGAGAACAGTGCTGAGGGTGGCAGCAGGGAGCACTGCTTCTCTCTAATTCATGCCTGGGGACACATGCACCCTGTGTGCACAGGCACAACACACATCCCTCAGCCCTGAAGGACATGGAGCAGGAGCAGCTGCTCATCCCTTCCACTGTGGCCCAAGACCTGGGGCAGACCCTGGGCC